GAAAGGTCTCGAGGGCAAGACTTGCAAGGTCACTTGGCTTGTTCATCTTGGAGAAGAGAAGGCTGAGGGGTGACCTCATCCAGATTGGACATTAGGAAAAAGTTCTTCTCTGAGAGGGTGGTCAGTCACTGGAACAGGCTCCCCAGGGAAGTGGTCACAGCACCAAGCCTATCAGAGTTCAAGGAGCATCTGGACAATGCTCTTAGTCATATGGTTTAGTTTTAGGTGGTCCTGCGAGGAGCAGAGAGTTGGACTTGATGATCCTCATAGGTCCTTTCCAACTTGACATATTTTATGATTCTGTGATTTTAAAAATTAACTTGCTACCATCATCAAGTGTTTCAACAAAGGTCCCACCTGGTTCCCAGCTTCCGAAACCTAGAAGAATTTTCCACTGTTCAATGGCAATAAGGTAACAACCTCTTGGTTGTTACTAAGCATAAAAAGAATTGCACAGTTGTGCAGAAAGCCCCTATCTGATCAAACTGGTAATCAATCAAAAATTTCACTGAAACACAATTTAAGGTGCCAATAGACAGGATTAAGAAAAGGAACCATGTGACTACTGAGTTCAGTTTCTTTCTGCAGACTCCACACTCCAAGCCATGAAACTCCGCTGCAGAATGAAAACACAGTGTCACATGGAAATGACCATGCACAATGACCAAGTATGTTGAGACATTTCTTGAGGCTTCCATTCCACAAGAACTGCTTATTCTTGATACAGTAAGATTATTTTATTATCTTCATATGTGTTAAACTTTAGTAATAGAAACCACAGGTATTTACTGGCATCAGCATTCATCATGCACCTCCAGAGATACCTATCTATCAAAAAATTACAAAACAAAGGTAAAGATTTAGGACATGCCTGTTTTGTTAAGCCAACACCCCAATAACGGAGCAGTTGCTTTGAACAGAAGAGCCACATTACTAATCACAAATTTAATGATGTATGTTAGGCTTTGAAAGCTCTTTACAAACACTACCTAATTAACCTACACGGACAAATCCCAACAGGATGAAGACGGTGGTTTGCAGGTGCAAGCCTGGAAAAAGTATGTGAGAACACTTCCAAAGCACCACTATTCAACAAATCTATTCATCAGTGCAGTGGCATGAGCACAAGGGAAAATCTGAGTTTTCTTCAGGATGCAGAGAAATCTGTAAGGAGGATCAACAAAGAATGTCGATGGCAAACACTTCCTGCATACTTAATCCACAGGCATTCTGGGAATCATAGAGTCTTATACTGGGGGAGGGTGGGTATACCAAGAAGTAGGTGTACGTATAGTATCTCTTCATTTCCACTTGATACCAAAGCAAAGTATGAAGAGTTGCAATCACTACTTTATTTCCAGAAATGAAAGTCAACTGAAGAGCTCTAGAGTAGAGAGCAGTAGCTTAAGTAAGCTTCCCACAGTAAATAAAGCTTTTTAATGATGAAAAAATAACTGAAGAGAAGCATGTACTGCATATTTACATTCATTTATTTCAGCCAACTGAATACAAGTTGACTTGTAGGCGTAAGTCAGGTGATGAAGGTTGAGTCCTTTCCTGATTTGCAGAAGAAGGTAGAGCACATTTCCAAGCAGGTAGGTTTGTTAAAGCAGCTTTTTAGCTGCAATTCAGGTTCGAACACATTTAAGGGCAAGAAATGGTAACATTTAAAATTACATACACCCATCTTACAAGTTGCCCTCTACGATAAATAGGGCAGAGGCAGGGGGGAAGTAGCTGCAGACAGAGTACAAAGGGAAAAGAACCAAGAAGCCATCTCATGATTGAGAAAGAACGAAGAAAAGATAGGATACCAAGGTGTGCACTCTTCTCCATGTACACAGGCTGGGGCTGACGCGCTCCACTCTTTGAGGCACTCTGAACCTGAAGTCCTTTGTACATAATCAGTAAAACCAGGGCAGAGGTACTAAACCCATTCAAGCAGACTAGTAAACTTAGACCAAAAGGGTAAGTGACTCACAAGAAAGTGATGCAGTGAGTCAACGGCAAAAATGTGAATTGAATTCAAAAGTCTTGGAGACAAAAGCCCATTGCTCTAATCCCTGGCCACACTGCCACACTCAATTAAATATAGTTGTGCCCACTTCTGAACAACGAAAAGGCCATGCCAGCACGGCTTTCTTTTTCCTATGGTTCCTATGCACAGCACAATGCCGAGGGACCTAAGCTAGTTTTGAACAAACCAGCTTAGATATCATCCAAACCAACTCCACTGAACAGGATTTAACAACACAGATGAAGTGTTTTGTCAATACGTCTGTACTGTTTCTAGGATCCATGGGGTACTGTACTGTGTGGACAAGCTCAGCACCATACAGTTTCCCTTCAGTCAATGGCCACCGCATCTCAGCAAGTGCTGATTGCTTAATCACCAAACTGGGTATGAAAATGAAAATTATTTGGGAAACAAGATATGCTTTAAGAAAAGCAAGCTCCGAAAAAGACGATCTCGATCATATTTTCCAGTAATCTGGCAAAAAAAGCTAAAACATTGAATCTTGTTTTAGGAACGAGTGGTGTAGATGTTTTTATCCAAATGCCCTGGAAACACAGTGCACAAAATCTGGACAAGAATACCTGTAGTGGAAAAAAAAATGCCATGGGGTACACAGATGATTATTAAAAAATTGTTCTGCAAATCCAGTCTTAGAGAACTATATGCTTTCTTTAATTGATTACAGTATTTTTAGAAAATTGTTTAAAGCAATAAAAATTATAAAAATAAACTGAGCAATAACGTAAGTACAAGAAATCTCATCCTCTGTGTTTTCAGAATGTGCCTCAAGATTAAGTAAGGAAATTTGGAAGTACTCACTTCCCCATCCAGGGATGTGTAATTATTTCACAGGTATTAAAGTCTCTTAGCATCCCTGCAAGGCACACATGTTGCTATTCACAGATGAAGAAACTTAAGTGAACTTTGTGACTTGTTTAAGATTAAACAATGACTCATAGGCAGCTAAGAATACTCACTATGTCTCCCGATTTCTGATGCCATGTTAAGACTACATTCTATAAATCCTCCTGCTATCTCCCATCTGTAGCAATAAAAGTAAAAATGACAGGCTATAAGGACAAAACTGTATTTTAATTTGAACAAAAAGGGTTTTTTCATTGCTAGAAGCAGCTAAAAATTCTGACAAGTCAGCTTAAAAATACACACTTGGCATATGAAAAATGGGAGGATCACCTTACCTCAGTCCTTCCTACGGTTGATAAGACTACAATTAGAGATTACTGTCTGGTCTTGGAAGATGCAACGTAACTGATAAACTTTCAGTATTTGAGACAGTGAGGGATACCAAGGGAAGATGATGACAAAAAGAATATGAAATCTTACCTAACGTTTACAATAATTCATGCACACATACCACCTGCAGAAAACTGATACTTCAGGCACTGAGTATCTCTCCAGTCCTAACTGGATCTTGGCAGAATATCTGCATCCTTTCTGAGAAAGACACTATTCTGCTGTAGAAGACCAGACCAACGTCACGCCCACAAATATATATTCTGATCAGATTTGCATGTGTTGATTACTATAACTGAACTGAAAATTAAAAAACCTTGAAAATGTTCCTTCACAATATGCACAATTTATATCTCTGCAAATAAAATATGTACCATACTTGTCAAATTCTTTCATCTTCCTCAGAAAGCTCACACAAGCACATTTTACTATGCAAGACAGAGTTCAAAAGTATACAACAAGAACACATTTACCACCTGCTCAAAACTTCATAGCAATTTAAAAGGAATTCTTCAGTGTTAGTTCCAGTTTCTACAAAAGACTGTCGCATTCTGCTTATACTAAAAACGCACAAAAGGAATCAATATCAATGAATTAATTAACCCAGATTAATTCATTTACTCTGTTCATTGCTTGACACCCCCCACATACACACGGTCTTCCTGTCACAATTCTGAGAGCAGAACAGGATGGGGAACAAGCAAGGAAGAAAGAAGAGGATGGAAAAGCTACTACAAAACAAGTGGATCTGTACCACTTGTATCCTTAATTAACTCAAAATAATGCAGTGTTTTATGAAATCACTGAAAAGATCAGTAGGGTTCGGCACCCTTCCTCACTTTGATGTGACCCAAACCACCATCAGTCCATCTAGATCTGTTGGTTTGACTTTCTGTTGGCTTGGTATAGAGCACCAGCCAGTCAATGAAAGCTGCAGTTTCTCACATTCTCTAAGAAATAAACTTCATAATCCTAATCCCATAAAATGGGCTAAAGGAAAAGAAGAAAGAAAAGAAAGAAAATAATTTCTAAGATGACACTAACGTTAAAACAGCTCATTTCCTGCTAATCCTTTAGACACGAAGGCCATACAGCCACGGACATTTTAAGAGCACAGGCCGGATATCAAGCATGCAAGGGCAGATTCTGCAGCCTGGCACGTGCCCAGAGCCACCACACACTTCTTGTGCAGCAGGTATTTCACATGCCCTTTAGGCATTTTTCAGATGACGATCTCAGCTCAGAACCAACACCTTAACAAAGCATGGAATTCAGAATCAGAGCAAAATGAAAAGCATAGATTTATCTCCTTTACCCAATTTTAACCTAGGCACAGCCTGCTAAGGATTGAAACAATAAAGAATCAGATAAAAGTTACAGCAGTTTGTTTAAGGTGCCAGTGCAAATGAAAAGCTGTGATTTCTATCCTACGATGGCATTTATGTGGTCTTGTCCTTTTAAACATAATGGACATATCTTATTTAAGTGAAGCTTCATTTTAGCACAGGATTTTGTCTCCTTAAACTTTAATCTATAAATTTAGAGTACAAGAAAAATTATTCTCCATTCTAAATATTGTACGCACATAGAGGAAAAAGAAATTTTTTTGCTTCTACCATCTGTCTTTACATTGAACCCTTCTACCTCATATGTCTCATTCATTCCTTTGAGAGACAAATGCAGGACTCCAAAGGTGATACTAATCTTGATGTGAACTCTCCAGACTTACATCACGGGAAGTGGTCAAGTTCTTGCTGTTTTCCTCTCCTAGAAATGATTTCATACTGTGCATGATATTATCTTTTCTCTGTTGCCGAAATTTCTTCTCCTCATCACACAGAGCCATGC